TACACTCACTCACTCCATACTGAGGATTAGATGAGATGAGATGAGAAGGCGAGAAAGAATAAGAATAGGCAATAAGTGACTGTGACGTGGTTGGCAATGCACCAACCAACAGCCCATCGCCCAAGAAACCTGCAGCAGGAACTGGAGATGGATATGATTGTATTGTATTGGATATACAGTGGGAAGATGGTTTGGGGATATCACGTGCCAGGTCAGGCGAGGTGGGGTGGGGTGAGGACGTTAAGTGGAAAGGAACCTAAAAGGGTAAATGACGATTTGGAGGTGTTAGTGTGACATGGATGAGATGGTGTGAAGAAGAAATGAAAGCCTGTGGGTAGTTGTGGATCCGGGGTAAATAAAAGACTGGAGAGAAGAGAGTGAAATGGAGACGTGTTACTGCATCCCTATGTTCCACTATGAAGCTAAAATACAAATTATGTAGATATATGTGAACGTACTGTTTGAGCATAAATTCGTCGGAGAGAGTTCTCTTCGCTGAATATCTTATTTTTGAGACTGGAAAGAGTTTTCATCAGACTAACATTTGTTGGTGATGAGTGAATGTGACTCAGGAGGCAGTCTGCCTAACCAAAAAAAAATATATTTGAGATAATGTTGAGTATAGTTTCTTAGTCACGTACATACCCTTTTGTTACGTAATGGTCGACATGCACTTTGTTTAGGTTAAATATAACACACATTGTAATCTGCTTGGTGGTGGTTTGCAGTAGAATTCAACACGTGTGTTTCAACCTATTCAGGACTCTTCAGCTAAATATACTTGTACCTCATTAAAACTGGAACCCAACGTTCCAAATGTTTGAAATGTCAGTGTTACTCACTGGGCCACTGTCACAATAAAACCAACTGTTGTATAACAAATGAAGAGTCCCAAATAGGACGAAAAACATACTTTATAATAAGATCTTTTGAACTGTTTTTTACAGTTAGTTGGTTGAGATTTGAATTCATAGCTGCATACTTAACAGATAGTTGATGACTTTATTTTTAAAGTAGCTAAATTATTCCAAGAATGTTGACAGTCAACACTTCTGTCTACGAAAGTCACTATTTCTCCAAAGTATTTCAGTGAGAAGATACGCTGGGTGAATAAGAAAGTAAGTTCCTTGACATTTTTTGGCATATTTTTCTTTGATTTCTTCATATTACTACGGATACATTGATCAAAGGAATGTATTCAGAATATTTAAAATCAGTTGTGAGACTTGAAGGTCACAGGGTTCGATCCCTGGCGGGTCATGGATATGTACTGCTGAAGAGTCTCATCTTAGGATGAAACAGATGTCCAGTGCCTCCAGGTTTTTAATGATTTTTCGAGTGATGTGCTTTCATGATGAACATTGCCCTGAAATATATTAAGTGATGCAAAAAAGCGAATGAGCTTAGGTTTTTGCGCCGTTTTCGGTCATTTCTTGTTGATGAAAGTTGAAAATAAATTACCCAACAGTTCAAACCTTATCAAGCTTAGATATGTGTACCTTTGGTGGGAGTGTAGTACTACTTTAAGTAGTATTACAAGAGTGATCCTTGGATTATTGATCACTTCTCATAACCTAAAGGCAAACATTCTCTGTAGATTGGTTCAGTTGGTTAGTTTAGAGATACGAAGGCAACAGAGGAAAACAAAATTATCGATAGACAAAAATAGGTGGTGTGAATCTTTTGGTAGAGTCAGTTTGGCGGGGGTTTCACTCTTATAATACGCAAGTATCTAGTATCAAGTTTCAGCATCATGTCAGTAGGTGCCAATTTTCTCTGTTTCTTCAACTTCCATGAAGAACTCTATATCTAGGCGGATAATGTAGACCACTGGTGAGTGGTTCCATCAATCTGTGTCTTCTCTTGGTCCATCCATAAAAAAAAACAATGATAGATACTCCACATAAAGCTCATTTTTGGACGAGAAGATATTCTAATTTGAACAGAAAAAATCAAGACGCCTCTTTAGATTGCATCAACGTCAGTAGGAACTTGCCATCCTACTTGTTAGGTGGACAACTCACACTGTTAAGTTGAGAGAGCCATCAATATCTATTGAGTAAAAAAAATGACGGCCAAGAGTTAGCGGTTTGATCTATAGTCTGCTGATATTTGAAGCAAAATTAGTGCTGAACTCCAGTTCCACTAATGTCATCAAACTTGACTAACGTGTGTACTTGCAACTGTGAAGTTTTCAAAGATAGAAAATCATCTAAATATCTCGGCCGTATGTTGGGGCGGCTACTCAACGACTACAGTGGATGGAGGCAGCCCTATATAACAAACTGACAGGAGTTAAAAATGTGGACCATCGAATTCCAATCCAATATTCCTGGGTTCGATCCTTGGCAGGGTCATGGGTGCACACTCCATCCATCCAAATCAACATAGGGCCAGGCATTACTGCGTAAAACTCCAAGTTTTCACACCTCATATCAGCACATCAAGTAGAAAGGCAGTGAATTGGAAGATGAAGAAAAGAAAATTCAGTCAAAAGAAATAGAGTACGAAAAGAGAGAAACGAAGAATGAGAAAATGGTGAGATTCGGTATAGCGTCGTTAAGATGAGGATAATGTGTGTATACATCTGCGCCACTCAAATCGGTTGTGAGCCGTATCACCTAGAGTCAGTCTCCAACCACTGGTTTCTTTTGTCCCGTGGACCCCAACCACCCAGTCTGCATTGCCACACATTGCTCATACTAACAGTCAAACACTTCATACATTGATGTTATGTTGCAGTCTGGCCGTCTCGGGCCTTTTTCCAGCCTGAACTTACTTCGGCCAACATTGTTTGATGAGGCAGACGTCTACTAGGCATACGTAACACATTTCCCAGTCAACCATCTCAGTTGATGTAGGTTCACACTAGAACGATGCGGCTATCTATTGCTAACAGGTTTCGAGTGATTCTCCAACACATATCAGGCATTGATAAATATTACTTTGAAGTATAAACAAAGCTTAAGAGCAGTTTCAAAGGAAAACTTACAAATTTTGACAGCTATAATAAATAAAATTTAAAATCTGCAATAAATCCAACCTGTGTCATATGTAAGACAGTTGGGGGATTACAAGTAGTAGTTATACTACCCATATATTTCACCTCATTAAAACCATATAAAAACACGTGTCACATGGAAGAAAACTATGAGGAATTTAAAATGAAGGCCTTTTTCTTTCTCGCCATCGATTTCTTTCACTGTAATGACTCACTGATATGACTAGAGGCTTCTCACTGGTGTTGTATGCCACCAGTCACTACCAAAGTTAGCTTGGTAGTCGGTAACAGAATCCAAAACACACGTTTCATCCTACATAGGAGTCGTCAGCTGGATGTATCTGTATCCCAGTGAGTGATGTTGTCCCCACTGAGACTTGGACCAAGAAACAATCGCTTCAAACTTCAAAGCAGGTTGAAACATGCGTCCTGGATTCCGTCGCTAGCCACCAAACACTATTGATTATTCCAGTCCTATTGAGGCATCGGCATAGCAACCCATGTGTCAACGGAGGTAGAGTGAATCGACCTAGTAGAGCAACGAGAAATTATAACTATCAAATAACTTATTAAAATTGCTGAAGTTTTTGAACTGTGGAAGTGAACCTGTCACACAATGGTTATATGTAGGTAGTGTATGCATGAGCAGTTGGAATCGAGTCAAGAAATGTTGCGATGACTCAAATATTGAGCAAGGTGTGAGGAGGATAATGTGACAGCAAATTGTTGAAATTGTAGAACTTAAGCACTGTATGAAATAAGATGCAATCCACTCAGCAAGTAAGCGGAAATTCATAACGTTAAGAGGGGGTTCAAGCCAGCAACCCACTGGCTGAAAGTCAGTTACCCACAGCTCCACACTTGCTATCGCACGATACAAGATCGGATACATCGATCTCTGATGGCTTTACAACTTTAACCAAGTAGTCTAGTGAACAGCAAATATTACAAGGTCTGAGGTGATGATTACTGGTTGGTAGAATGATTTCAGAAGGTTCTAAATGGAGCGAAACGCATACCTCGAGGTAGTGGATTCACATCCATCTTATTATTACATTACTATTTGTCCCTTGGGTTCCTTGTGGAACATACGGCTTCAGTAGCACGTCTCCATTACACTCCCTTCTCCGCAATATTTTCAACCTGGCTCCACGACTGCCCACAAACTCTCATTTCTTCCTCACACCATCTCCTCCATGTCACCCTCACCTCCAACGCCCAACTCATCGTTTCCCAACTGGATTCCACTGGGGCGACTGGCCTGGCACGTGATGTCCCCGAATGGTCTTCTCAGTGTATGCCAAATCCATCTCCACTTCCTTCTGCAGATTTGTTGAGTGGTAGGTTATTGGTTGGTTCGTTGACAGCCAGCCAGCCAGCCAGAGTTCCTTGTTGCTTATTCTTATTATTCTCGAAATCTGATCTTCAGTAACGGGCCAGCGTAGGTAGTTGTTGATGAATGTTTGTGGTTTGTTGGAAATCACTTTTGTAACGCTGCAAACACTGTGACTCTGGTATATATTCTGCATTCAATTATCTACTGAAGTTGAGGACAGAGTAGGAAGGGTTCAGTGTCCAGTGACAAACTGTGTCTCCAAGGAGCATGAACTTCCTCATCAGTTGACGAAGTAACATCTGCGGAATTAATTGGTTCTTTCAAAATGTAATTCCACTGAGCATAGCTCTTCAACAGGTTATGACTTATACGTGTTGTTTGAGGGCCTATAACACCTGCATGGCTGCTTGGAACCAAGCGAAGGTAGGATAGTTGCTTGACAGTTAAGTGTCTGACTTAATAAGTCACACCTTGAAAGATGTGTAGGTAAGACGCTAGATTATGGGACCAGTAATTCATAAAGTAGTACTTCTGCCTGTTCATTTAAACCACTAAAGAATGGTAATTGTCGGGATAGAGACATAGATTCATTGAAATGTTACACAATAAAAAGCGTTAAACGTATTCGCCACAAATTTACCAATAAATAAAACCTTCACTCACCTACTGACACCATGAAAAGGTAGTCCTTGTGTATGAATATATACATCCAAAATCACTGTAACACAGCAGATTATTGTAGTTAAATTCAGGCCAACAGATAATTCCTTTTTTTTTCTTTTTTCAGAAAAGTCTGTTTTTTTTTAATGTTCAATTCGTTTTGGTTTCAGTGACCATGTGTAACGCAAAAATATTTTCATTCTGTTCAATGTTCAAGTTTGATTACGACATAAAATGTCAAATCATCAATCACATGTGGGAGAAAATATTAACAACACTACCAGTAATAGTTGTGGAATTCAAATTTGTCAACCCTACTATTAGTTTGTTTATTTTTATGACTTGTAATAATAAATAAATAAGTAATTCCTTCACTGATTGGTAGTTATAATCTCTTGCGATCTGATTGGCTAGTCGTTCACTGGATTACGTAATCGCAATTGTACATGGATCAGATACGTTAAATTAACTACATTAGTCATTGAGTTAGGTTTTTATCCGTGTAGCTATATGCAACATGATGTCAGCAAATCACACTGTGAGTTCATTTCAGTGATTGAAAGTCTCGTGTATCATTGAACAATCTGTGTATTAATTTGTCAAAGAAATAAACGTGTACTGCTACTACTACTTTAACAGAAATGTTATCTTCCCATATGTCTGTGTGTATTTGTATATGTATTTATGTGTCTATTAACCAACCAATTAAAAACGAATCACAGTGAAAAGGATTAGTCATTAAATCAACCAATCAAATTCACCCTGTCAGCTAAAATTAACCTTCAATCATCAGACTGATGTCATCTCAATGTCTGTGGTAAATTATATGAAAATTCCATATCTTTTTTGGTTACTGGTATTATTATTATTATTATTATGATTATTATTTTGCCTAATTGTACACTAAAACATTTTATCACATTTAGAAAATAATGAAAATAGAGGACAGACAAGATAATTGGCTTTTCAAAAAACAATACCTTCAGCTTAGAAATGTGTTTTTTAAATGTTTATCTACTTATTTTCCATGTTAATGTGATTGAATCATTTGACAATTGAATAAGTTTGAAGCAATCAATCATTAAATCGCAAAAAGTTTTTACTACTGAAGGAGTCTAAAATACAATTGGATGGATGACTAATATTCCCATATCTTGAGACATTGTTTGTCCTATTATCAAAATAAGATGGGAATTTCCTGAGTAGGAGTATATTACACAGTCAATACTTACACATTTTCGACTACTTCACTATAGTTTCTTTAGGATTTCCATTGAAAAGAACTCAGGTAAATCATAAGGTGTGAATTTTGACACAAAATTGTAATCAACTAATGGAATATGCTACTATAGTAATGATGGATAGTGGCTAGCAGTGGAATCCAGGATGCCTATTTCGTCCTGTTTGGGACTCATCAGCTGGGTGTATCTGCCTCCCAGTGAGTGATGTTGTTTCCACAAGGATTCAGACTCGAAACCGATCACTTCAAACGCCAGAGCGTAGTCCGCTACAACACCGAGCCACGATAACCAATTCTTGTGAAACGGGTATGGTTTTAATATAACTGCTTTTATTATGCCATCGTCGGGAACAACATCACTCACTGAGAGGAAGGTAAACCCAGCTGACGAGTCCCAAACAGGACGAAATGAGGATCCTGGATTCCACTGCTAGTCACTATCCATTAATACTATAATTGGAACACAGGTGATCTCGAGGCATCCGCACCTATATGCCGATTCAGTCCAATTAATGATGGTATAATACAAGCAATTATACTGAAATATACTACTACTGAACAAACTGAGTAGTTAGAAACCATTCACATTGATCACTTATGAAAAGTTTGGCTATTTTAGGTCAATTGAATCTGGGGTTTTATGGATATCTAGTGATTTTTTTCAGGTTGGTATTCATCGTAGACTGATATCATTTGAAGGAACATTGGAAACCTGGGAGCACTGGACGACTGTTTCGTCCTAGTATGGGACTCTTCAGCAGTGCGCACTCACGACCACACCAGGGATCGAACCCGTGACCTGCAGGTTCCGTGGCCATCACGTCACCAATGGGCCACTGCATCGGAATTCAGTCGTCCATATTTCCAACTTCAGTTTGCCAGGATATACCGCAGATGAGCACTCTCCCTTAAACCAATGAAATAGCAATCTGGTGTTTGGATGCCTATGATCTCGTTAGCTATTGAAACTGTTCAGTAGTATATCTCATTATCTTATATTTTCATACGTTTATTTTATTCATTTATAACTTCAAAATACGAGATAAGGAATGTTTATATATTTGTGAACTGTATACAGTGTAACTATAGGCGGTTGAATGAATGAATAGACAACAGATAGTGAAGTGCAAGAGAGAACAAATTGTCTAGAACAATGCGAAATGAGGTGTAAACATGGCTGTCTTTCAAGTGTTCGTCTTGTGTTGTTCAATGTGTACTCACAGTGCACTTTCGTACTTCAGCATTTTATTACACCTTGAAAACTGGTGTAGTTTTTCACTGACTATCTAACTGAAGAAAGAAATGAAGGAATAAAAAAAATCGATGGACAATTAAAATATATTTTCCATTTTAGTCTGTTTACTAGAAATATCACACAGTGAAACAGTAGCATTTACTGGATAACGTTTCGGACATAATTTATTGTCCATATTCATATCACGTAACTCCACAACTTTGAGACAGAGGTTATATAGTTCTAAAAGATCCTATCGATGTAATTAAGCAAAATAATCTTGTTTACCAAATCCCTTGCAATGATTACGAAGTCAAATACATACGTCAAAATAGTTGATTAGCCAGGGTTGATCAGAATAACAGAGCACAAAAACTTAGCTAAACCGAGATTTGTGGATCCTAATTAAGATGAGAAATCTAGAGAAAAACTCGGCTATAGCTCTGCATGCGGTGACACAGAATCACACAGTAGGGTGGGATAGGGTGGCAGTGTAGAAAACTAACTTAGTTGGGTGGAGGGAGAGATTGATAACCGAATCTTTGTTTATCGAATCAACACCAAACACATGCAGTAACAGGAATGATTCCACACCTGTCCCTGATATATGGAAAATTCTACTACTCTTGTCATCACAGAGAAGGAGAGAAAACTAGGAATATATAAAGACTGTCTGGAAGTTGTGGAGTTGGTTACCTGATATGAATATGGACAATAAATTGTGTCCGAAACGTTATCCAGTAGATGCTACTGTTCCTTCACTGTGTGATATTTCTAATAAACAGATTAAAATGGAATTACACTCGACCGAAGTGCCCAAGTTTTACGCTTATATTAATAAAATATATTTTACTCTGGTTTCTTTGAAAACTGTGAGATGTATAAAAATCTAAGTGCATACCATTGATTTACCTTTTATTGATGGGACAGAAACGAATTTTCGGATCTGAAGACTAACTCTGAAAACATCTTTCTGACTTAACATACTCCAAATACTTCCATGCTGTGTAGAAGGATATTGGCTTGATAGAGTAATGATGAAAAGTGGCTAACACTGAACGCGCACTTCGTCCAATTTGGGACTCGTCAGCTCGATATACCTGTCTCTCAGTGAGCAGTGTTGTTCCCATTAGGACTTGAACCTATGACCGATCTCTTCAAAGGCCAAGCTACGGAAACCACTCCTCGTGCGACGGGTATAATTTGAATGTTGTCGCTTGTATCATCAAGGCATCCACGCAAGAGGTCATATTCCAATAGAGACCGATCAATTCGGTCCAGTCAACTTTTTATACATTTAACAGTTTTCCATTTCATATGCTGATAAAAATTGATTCAGAATAGTGTAATGCTTACTTTTACTTTCATCGAGAGAAGACACATCGACCAGTTGGCTTCCCGAAGGCTTTCACCAACTGGCGTCATTTCAGCTCTCTAAATCCAGTGAGGAATAAGTTTAATTTTATTTTTCATATTATTTTTGTACTTTGAAGTTTGTTAAGTGATTGGATTGGCTTTCCGGAGTAAGTTTGCTAGCCATACGCCCAACTTTCCCTCTTTATCTGGGCTTAGAATCAGCTATCAAACTAGTGAACTAGTAAACTAGGCGATTCCCAATGGAAAACACAATGATGCCTTTGAAGTGAAGAAAAGAGTAAGAAAAGGTTACCACCTACTATCACCCATGATCTTCCTGATTGTGGTCAACTCGAATCGACTGGAATGTATCATGTAAGAGACTGTGAGGAGAGAGAAGATGGACATACACTGGCTGGACCAGTGGCAAGACCCTAGAAGATTTGGATTTCGTCCACGATGATCATTTATGTCTAATATCGTATGTCGCACAAACTCATAGATGTATAGGCGAAAACTAACAAGTTGACAGAAGAGGTAATGAAGGCACGACTTCTTTCAGGTGAACGTGGAGATGACAGAGGTGATGAAGATACCCAACGAAGAAGAAGTAGAAGCACCAGTCACCGTGAACGAGAGAAATCTGAATAAAGTAGTCTGTTTCACCTACGTACCTACCAAGGCACCAACGTTTCAACCACAGGCTGCACAGGCACACATAAGGATGTCAAAACCAGGATCGGTATGATAGCGAAACAGACCTTCCCTCATTAATCTGAAATCAGTGTGGAGATCTTCTCCACTGCACTACACTGCACTCAGCATGAAACATGAACAACATCTGGATTTCCAACACTCATGTCAGTCAAGTGACTCTGTGATTCTATGTGATGGTTGAGAGAGTTGGCATGTCACGAAACGTACTTCTAACAAACTGCACATATACATGATCAACAGACACCACCTACACTCACTCACTCCATACTGAGGATTAGATGAGATGAGATGAGAAGGCGAGAAAGAATAAGAATAGGCAATAAGTGACTGTGACGTGGTTGGCAATGCACCAACCAACAGCCCATCGCCCAAGAAACCTGCAGCAGGAACTGGAGATGGATATGATTGTATTGTATTGTATATACAGTGGGAAGATGGTTTGGGGATATCACGTGCCAGGTCAGGCGAGGTGGGGTGGGGTGAGGACGTTAAGTGGAAAGGAACGTAAAAGGGTAAATGACGATTTGGAGGTGTTAGTGTGACATGGATGAGATGGTGTGAAGAAGAAATGAAAGCCTGTGGGTAGTTGTGGATCCGGGGTAAATAAAAGACTGGAGAGAAGAGAGTGAAATGGAGACGTGTTACTGCATCCCTATGTTCCGCTAGGAACCCAAAATACAAGTAATAATAATAATAATAACGATAAATCGTGTAATGTTTATTTATGTTTAGACTGCACGCAATTTTAAAATAAATATATCTAACCAGGAAGTAGTAGATGCTGCAGCATTGTTTGTTGGTTTGTTTTGGAGAATTTTTTTATCGATTTATATAGTATAAATGGAAAAATTAATGTATTATTGATTGTTTACATTCCTCATACCTTCTTTTTATTCATCAAGCCCAGAAGAGTGGGATTGTCAGAATAAATTCAACCCATATTTACTTTGAGGTAGTAGTTGACATGATCTGACATCAGTTGGAGAGGCATTGTGGAACTCGGTGTACTAAAGGGTTGTTTCGAACTGATATAGAGCTTTTCAGCAGTGGGCACCCACGACTTATCCAGCGACCGAATGTAGGGTAGTGAG